CCCTGCTCCCTCCCCTTCCACCACAACAGACTTGTACATGCAGTTGTATTGGAAATCGGATCAATATTGGCTGATATGCCTCCTTTAAAACTGGCTGTCAGTATCAGCCCCCAGAATCTTTATCAGTGCACCCCCACTTTATTCTTCTTAGTCAGTGGAGTCTTGAAATTTAACGGTAACCTTCAGCTTTGAGATGTTTTCAAGCCTGGAGTCCTCGTAAGTTTCAGCATCTTTCTGGTTGGTAATGACCTGATACATGGGTGTGTAAGTGACTGTTACCTCAGATCAAAACTAATTTTGAAGGTCTAATTCCAGCCTGTCATCCTCAACAGTGTAACGGTGTGTACAGGTTTCCAAGTCTGAAAGAGCAAAGTAGGACAACATGGAGAACCTTTAATGCTCGGTTATTAAACTTTTGCCCGATCAGATTATTCCTTAGGCACATAAGATTTGTTAATTGTCATTTTTAATTTTTCTAGAATGAGAGACTGAAAAAAGTCTGTAGTGATTTGGAAGAAAAACATGAAGCGGCAGAACTTCAGATAAAACAGTTATCCATAGAGTACCGAAATCAGCTACAACAAAAAGAGGTATGTTGGAATATGTCTGTATCTTTCTTTCAAGTATGGAAAATATATATAAATATGTGTATAAAAATAGATATAGGTTAGGTTTATTTGTGTAATATAATGTCTTTGTCTTTTCGATTAAAAATACCAAACAATTTGGGTTTTTAGTCTGAAACAAGGAAAGCTGGCCCTAAACCTCCAAAACTTTATTCTGTAGAATATTCTTTCTTCTGTATTTGTAGATGCAGAAAAAAGTGGGAAGACAGTATTTTGATGCTTGTAATAAATAGTCTGTGAATTTAATATGCATCTTATCTATATGAATTAAATCTCTTATTCCGGAGGCCAGATCTGTTGGCCTATGCACAATTCATAGTGATATAATGATGAAGGGCCATTCAGTAAATGCTTCGCTCAAGATTCGATGTTGCAATGATGCATAAACCATAAAGAGAAAGATGATGCTTATGACAAAAGGTTATAAAAATTTAAAAAATCAACTTGATCTTCCTCAGCGATGCGCAGGTTCACTAGTCTTTCTTTAAACTAGTGATCCTCTATTTAGATCCTGGTTCCATCCTCTAAATAGAGTATTGAATTATGTGGAGCCAAACCTGCAAAATACTAAAAGCCTTATGGAGCATAAAACAAACTTTATTTCTATTATTTTAAATAACTTCAGGTGCACTTTGGCCATTTTATTATTTAATTAAAATTATTTAATTAAAAACCTTTTATTAATAACCTAAAAATGGTTTCAGCAGCTTGTTGCTGACAACCCTACAGCTTTTAGTGGATCTGGGCCTAAATAGCGGTGGCTCTTCGCTGCTGTGTGCATTCCCAGGGGTGGGGCAGGGGGGAACCCGTGCTCCTCAGCTCTGTGCGTGGGGTGGGGGTGGGGCAGGCTGCAGGCTCAAGTAGGGGGGCTGTTTCCCATGACAGCACGCACTCCAAGGGGAGTAAGGGGGACCTGTGCTCTCCAGATCTGTGTGCGGGGTGTGGGTTGCCCACTTCAGGCTTGTGCTCCCTGCCCTGCTGCTGTCCCTCAGGCTTCTGCAGCCCAGCGTGTGCTACCCGGTGCTGCAGGGAACAGCAGAGCCACAGAGGAAACTGTCTGCCACTGCAACCTCTGTGCTGCCCATGTTCCCTGTGAGCAGCCCCATGCTGCCACCCCCGCTTCAGCCACGCAGGGAAGGGATGCCTTGCCAGGGTAGTGCGGAGTTTGCAGAGGCAGGCAGCTTCCCGTGCAGCCCTGGTGTTCTTTGCAGCATTGGGTCGCGCATATGGCTGTGGAGGCATCAGGGGAGGGCAGCAGGGCAGAAGCCTGCAATGGGCAACATATAGTTTTCATCCCGTGCAAAGATGTGGAGGGGCACGGGTTCCCTCTGCCCCCCAGAAGTGTGCATTGTAGTGGGAAGCAGCCCCCCCTCCCCCCCGAGCCTGCAGCAGACTGGGAGCTGGGCTCTGCTCTGCTGCAGCAGCTGCTGCCTCCTGGCTGAGACAGGGGGCTGTGGACCCAGGTCCCTGGCCCCATAGTCCTGGCAGCTGGGATCTGCCTCCAGCAGAGCTGGGGGAGCAGGAGCTGTGGGCTAGAGACCAGCGGGGCTGAGAGGTTGTGGAGGCACCAGCAGGGCCAGCGGCTGTAGGGAACAGGGTAGTGAGTGGCACCAGCGAAGCCAAGGAGCTGTGGGGAGAGAATGACGGGCATCAGCGGGGGGGAGGAGGGGGGCTTTAACTTTAATCACTGATTTGGAAGGTTTTTGTCAGAGAACTTGTGAATTTTTTTTATTGGG